AACCAGCCTAGCTTCCTGTTAACTTCTCTGATTCTACCAGCCTGGGGGATTAGCATAGAGCCTTGTTTCGTCTTTGGCATGGTAATTTCACCTGCTAAGAAGGGTTCCCACAGCGCCTAATTCTTCTCCTAACTGTCTGTCACAGCTCCCAGCCGGGTACCCCCTGCCTGGAAGAACCTGCCACTTGGCACCAGGCTCTCCACACTGTGATCTCACTCCTGGCTGGGAGGGGGTCCTTCTCTCCTGGGGAAAGAGGTATATTAACCTGGTGGAAGCAAAATAAAACTTGGCATTCACCTCTTGGTGAATGACTGGCGAATGACCCGGACTCTCTATGTGTGTGTGTCTTGTGTTTAACCCCTAGGCCCTTGCCCAAGCTCGTGATGGTAAGAAGCCGCGGTCCATACCAGGAGGGTGGTGATGCAGACCTCGGGGGAATCCCACAGTCAGACACACACGTGCGTGCGCAATTGCGTAGGTAACAATTACTGACAAAAGAGGTCATGATTTTGAGGGAGCAAGGAGGGGGTATATGGAAGGGTTCTGAGGGAGGAAAGGTAAGGGTGACAATGATGTAATTGTATTATTACAGTCTCCAAAAATAAAAGAAGAAATAAAAAATGCAGCCCACCCCTACACCTTACAGGTAATCTGAGCGCCCTTGGAAAGTTCTGTGGATCCCATGCTCCCTCTAGTGGCCAGTCTCTTCCCTTGTCTCTCCTTTTCGTTTTTTTTTTTTTAAACTTTCTTCTTGTTTTATTATTTAAAATGTGTAATTCACTGGCAGTAAGTACATTCATTTTGTGTGGCACGAAATTCACTAGCTGTGCCCTGATTTTTTTCATCTTTCAAAAATGAAACCCTACATCCATTAAACACTAACTTCCTATTCTCTTCTATATCCAGTTAATGGTGACTTTCTGCCTCTGTATTTGACTATAAGAGACAAGTCATTCAGTAGGCAATAGACGGGGTTTCAGAGAAGATAGCAAATTAGAAGTCACTTTATGTGACCTGGTGAAAGAGAATAAACATTAATAGCAATATTTTATTCCTATAAAAAAAAAACTAGGGGGCTGGAGAGATGGCTCAGAGATTAAGAGCACTGGCTGCCCTTCCAAAGGTCCTGAGTTGAATTCCCAGCAACCACATGGTGATCACAGCCATCTGTAATGAGATCTGGTGCCCTCTTCTGGCCTGCAGACATACATGGGGGCAGAAAGTTGTATACATAATAAATAAATTTTAAAAAAACTAAAGGAAAAAGAAAATAAGGTGAGGTAGGAACTACACAAAGAAGTCACAAGCTTCTTTTGACAAATGGCAGATTTCCATCCATAAATATTCCCGTATTTATGTCCCTTATTTTGGGACATAATACAGCGTAACAACAAGTTAGACAAAAAGTGTCTGGGCTGTGGAGAAGAAACTGATGGGCGGATATAGTATCAGCAGAGGCATAGCTGATGCTACACAGAGACAAAACTGTGGGCTACATCTGAGATTCTAGTCCAGTGCCCTGCATTTTAAGTCTCAAGAGGCTTCTCTCCAGCTGCTTCCTGAGCAAGCAACGATATAGGCAAAGGTGAAGCATTTGCATTTCGAGGGATGACAAACTTTTGAGTGTCTTGCTATTTCAAACAATTTTGCCTTTTATATTAGTTCACATTATTAACGCTTCTTCATGTGCTAACTCCTTCTGTTTAGAATATATGCTTAAGCTATTGTGACTGGGGCCCCCAAGACCGCAAGTCTCCTTAGATTTATTCCTCTAAAGTGTTACTATCTCGTTGTCTCCTAGAATAATGAAATCTAATGGAAAATGAAATGCTGTCAACGTTAGTGAATTGTAGCTTTTCATGCCCCCCAAGAAAGGAAAAATTAGAAACTATTTGTCTTCTTGAGGAGAGGGATTCAGTGCAGTTAACAGTTCTTACGAACAAGAAGACACTAGAAAAGTTCACGCCTTACTGAGCTTCTGACCTAAAACTGTGGTGAACGTGAACTTATATTGTATGGCTATTCTTTATTATTGGAGTCTCTGATTAGAACGATAGAATTCAGAGAGCTCTGAGAATTCTTCACACTGATTTCTAGAGTGGCTGGATCTGTTCTCACCTGCACACACATGTTCATTCATACAGATACATATGTGTTGACTGGGGTCTGCACACACATGGCATTCACTCACACAGATACATATGTGTTGACCGGGGTTTCTGTCCTGCCCAGTCCCACAGTCGTTCAGTCCCAAATAAACACACAGAGGTCTACATTAATCATAAACATGTTGGCCTAGCAGCTCAGGCTTCCTATTAATTAATTCTTACATCATACATTAACCTATCATTCTTGTCTGTGTTAGCCACATGGCTTGGTACCTTTTCTGGTGAGGCAGTCACATCTTGCCTCCTCTGCATCTGGATGACGACTATATACTTTCTTTTCCTCTTTTTTTTTTTTTTTTTTTTTTTTTTGAGACAGAGTCGGGTTGTATAGCCCAGACTGGCCTCCAGCACAACATCCTTTTGCTTCTACCGTCTACGATTGTCTAGGATACGTCTAGGATTGTAGGTGTCACAACCAGGGACCACATTACATAAATGTTAGTCTTTCAGACATACGCAGGGTCTCCTGTGAGGAGCGAGTGCTGGGGGGTGGTCAGGAAAACACAGCATGTCGTGCTCTCTGGGATGCTTTGTATTTAATTTTCAACATTTCATTATATCCATCTTATCTCCAATTTATGCAAAGGTTATAGCAAAGATGGCATTTGTCATGGGTGGTTGGTACAAAAAGATGGGACTAGTTGTACTCCCAGACCTTGTTCTTGTCACCTTTGAGGCAGGTGTATAATACTTCTGTATCCCAGTTTTGCTCCCTAAGAGGTAGCAGCGGATGGCTCTGGTTTTACAAGAGACATGCATACACATGGAAATCTCATCCTTATCAACTCAAGCAGTCTGTTACTAATGGAAGTGTGGCTTATTCCTGCCGCACATCTGTGTAAAAGCTGTCTTGTCTTCCCTCCCCGCCCCCTCCTTTTTTCCTCATTTTTAATCTTAACATTTATTTGTATTGTTTTCATCAACTTTGTAATTATAAGGTAACAATCCTAAAGAAAAATTAACATTTTGATCCCAAGAAATTATTTAAAATTACAGTTTAATACATTTTGTGATCTTCTGTACTTATAAGGGCTATTTTATTGTGGTGTATTTATAATGGAAGTCACATCTTCAAAAATGCAAATCACATCCGGAATAAAATCTGTATGGAATGAAAATAAAATCGCAGAATGAGTGACAGAGTGGTTGACTTTCAGTGTTCGAGCGCTTTGTAAGTAAAGGGTGTTAGGCACTGAACTGGCTACATAGAAATCAGTGAGATAAAGAATGCTAGTCCACACATACACCAGAAATAATGTCCTTTAGGTCTCCTAGTCTCTGACATGGCATCAGATGTCACCTTAAGACTGTAGAAAAAATTTAAAAATTGTGGGAGATGCAGCAAAAAACTTGAAATTCAGTTCTTAAAAACCCTGGCACTTACTTTTCATAAAAAGCAGTTCCAAGCACTCACTGAGTGGGCATTCGTACTCGGGTTGGTGGGCACAGCACAGTAGGGGAGAAAGGACTACAGGCAGACCATGAAAACAACTTAGTCTCAGCAGAGTTGTTTTGTAGCCCGGAGCCTTCAGCCATTTCCTCTATGTGCAGTGAAGTGGTGGTCAAGGCTCCCGTGAAGCTGCACATCAGTTCGTTCTGCCACTGCATGCTCAGTACTGCAAGTCCCTGGAGAGTCTGTCATTCTCTTTCCTCTGCTGTGCAAATACTTAAGTGCTTTCCAATTCTGTCCTAAAGGTAATGCATCATGGTTGGGGATGAAGATAACATTGACCTTGCTGCCTTTCCCTCACCAGCAAGAGCAAACTCTTCTGGCCTTATAGAATCAAAAATGAAGGCAATCAGCAGGAATTACTGCAGACACCAGAGCAAAGTTGGATGAGTCATTGCGAGTACTGTGGTTTGAAAAGTAGCATATAAGGTATTCCATGCATCTGCCTCTTATGCTGGAGTCCACAGAAATGCAAAGGGCCGATGATTGCGTAGGAAAAGATTATTTTCCTCTCTGAAATGGTTTCTTTTTAATTATGAGAGTAGGCAACAGCTACATACTGCTGCTTTGTTATCAGTTAAACTAATCTGTGTGGTTTAGATATATTCAAATGTCACTTGCTCTTGCTTTCCGATTTAGAAATCCCGGGAGGCTTTATTTTTAAGACTTTATTTATTAGACTTGACGCCGACTCCTGTTATTTAATGCAAAACAAAGCACACACATAATGATTCACATGTGAAGCTGTCGACAAAAATGGGGTTTTCAGAACTGTATTTAATCGCTGTGAGAGGGTCTTACAAGATTGTCAATGAGGCAATTAAGATTACCCTGGTAGGTATAGGCACAGCCAGCTCATTCAGGGACCACAGAACTCAGAAGCTGGTCACCGTCCCTGGGTATCCTAATAGAAAAAAAAAATGCAAACTATGGTTTAAGGACAGTGTTGAGCCTGAAGGAGAAAACAGGAACTTCGATGGAGAGAAGTGGGCAGAAATTTCTCAGGAATCCCGGAGGCCAAGAGCAGGCCAGGAAGACAAGAGGGGCCCATTTCGGTCCCGTGCTTCGTATTCAAGAATACGTCATGGTCTGGCTCAGCGGTTAAGAGCGCTGCCTGCTCTTCCAAAGGTACCAAGTTCAATTCCCAGCAACCACATGTAATGAGACGTCTGTAATGAGATCTCCGGAATGAGATCTGGTGCCCTCTTCTGGCCTCCAGGCATATATGCAGGCAGAATACTGTGTACATAATAAATAAATAAATCTAAAAAAAAAAATACGTCATTGGCTCGGCCGCTCTGCTCGCACGCGATTGGTTCCTGGCGGCACGGCCCCGCCCCCTCCCCGCCTCGGGCCCGCCTCTCCGGCTGTCCCCGCGCCGCCTCCTCGCCCGTCCTCTGGACCGCGTCCACGGCCACCGCCGCGACCGAGGAGCCCTTCCCTTTCCACGGTCTTCTGCCGAAGGAGGAGACCGAGACCAGGGCCGCCTCCTTCCTGTGCCGCTACCCGGAGTATGACGGGCGCGGGCTGCACGTCGCCGTCCTGGACACGGGGATCGATCCCGGGGCTCCGGGCATGCAGGTGAGAAGTTTAAAAAATACTGTTTTAGAGTCCTAAATAACTTTAAATGTCTAACAGGAGGAGTTTATGGTAGGTCTATACTGACAAATTGTCCGAAGAGAAAATATGTTGGATATTTAGATACAACATACATAATCAATAAAATATTGAAACCAAATATGAATGTAAGATCACCAGGTGGTGGTGCTCACTCAGATTCTAAATATGCGCAGCTTTTTAAAAATTTTTTAATTCAGCAAGGAGCTTAGCACAGTTGTTTCCTTACCCAATGAATTAATTTTGTAGTTTTGTGTGTACATCATTAAGGTAAGAAAGAAAATAGAAATTAAAAAATAAATAAAAATAAAAGAATAGAACAGGAGGCTGACCTGGCCATTTGGGATGCCAAATAGGATCTAAGAAAAGGACTGGAGACAAAAATGAGAACTCTGAGGGACAGAGCCAAGCCCTTTTTCTGTCACAGCTTCTGGGTGTATTCAGAGGAAAGGGCAGGGCCGGGTGTGCCGACAGATTGAGGAGAGTAATACTCCCGTGAATGATGAAATTAGCAAGCACTCAGGCACCTGGTTGGTGCCGACTGCTCCATTAAATAACGAAGTCCTGGCAACTGTGAGTGTTTCAAAGATAGAGCGGTAGGATGGCGGGAAGACTGTGAGATCGTGGATGTGTTTCAGGACAAGATAAAACCTGGTCAAGGCCGCGTCTACAAAAGCAATTGTAGATGCCACTCTTATCTCACCACTGATCTATGCTTCACTTTCCCAAACTTACTACCCACCAAAAACAAACCTAGTATCATGTATTTGTTCAAAACAAAGTCAGTTTGCTTTTGAGTAAATCTCCAAAAATTCTGTTGCAAGCCTTTCAAACTCCCTGCTCCCAACTTTGACCACCTTTCACTCCGTGCTTCCCTCTTGAAGTACGGAAATTTGATTTCCATCTCTTCTAGGCACCTAGATGTTGCAGGTCCTAATGCTTGCCTTTGCCTGTGGTCCTTAATTTGCCCAAAGGCTTCCTATAGTCATCTGCAAACTCCTGCTTCATTCTTTAAGACATTACTGATTTCATTCAGCCTTTGCCAGGTATTTAGCTCTACTGTTAAGGTCTGTGGCTGTAGACGTGAGTAAGGCTATCAGAGATTTCAGTTTTTCTTCCTTTTGTTCTCCTCTCAAGTTGTAAGTATTCCTAATAGTGCTTGCATTTTTTCATCTTGTTACCCCGCCTTACATTTTTCCTGGTTAAAATTCTTGGAAAGCATATATCAAATTTATTTGGTATCAGATCTGCTAGTAATAATAAGCATTTTGTTGAAATAGGGGTGCATGCATAATAGGGAACTGTCCTCTTAGAAAAAAAAATTTTCGGTAAATAGATACAAATAACTCCATGCAAGTTTTTTGTTTGTTTGGTATTTGATACAGGGTTTCTCTGTGTAACAGCCCTGGCTGTCCTGGAGTTAGCTCTGTAGACTAGGCTGGTCTCGAACTCACAGAGCTCCGCTTGCCTCTGCCTCCTGAGTGCTGGGATTAAAGGTGTGCGCCACCACACAGCTCCAAAAAGTATTTTTAATGTGCCTACTCACTAAAATATTAATAAGTAATCCAACATATATAATTGGTTTTATTTTAGTCTTAGTGACTGTCATTTCCTTGGGCTTAGTTTCTGCAAGCTGAGGTTTGTGTTCTTAGGGCATTTCTTGACTACTTCCTTAAACTTCCTGCCTTGGATTATTATCTCTACTCCTCTGTCATCCCAACTGATAAGCTTTCTAAAAGCAGGGATCCTTATGAATTGATCATGCTCTCAGAATAAAAGTTACTGAGTAGTAATCACATACTTAAATGTACATTTTCAATTTCTTCCATTGAAATTCCAAGTAAATACTATTTTTTTTCTTTGTTTAGTGAGCGTTTGTTTTTGATGGCTAGCAAGCCTTTTGCCTCTTGTTCTGATCTTTACAAATGGTTAACGAATGGCTCCCTACCCATACCATTTTCTGCTCCATAATAGGTACAGTGGAAAAATAAGCCACTTGTATTTCTGACATTTAGGGGAAATGGTCGGCAATTTCTTTTTATTTAGTTAGTATCCAGGAAGCGTTTCCCTGTCTCCCCCTCAAGGTTATTACGGTGACTTTCCCCATTATTCCATTTTCCAGGCTTGCCAGCCCTCATCCACGCACCCCTCCTTCCTTAAAGATGGGCTGCATATTTCCTCTATTACTAGAGAATTTCCTTCTTATCCCAAACCTCTACTGCAAAATTCTCATATGCTTTTGCCTTTATGTTTTTTATTTTTATTTTTTTAAATTTATTTATTTAACATTTCCACCTCCTCCCATTCTCCCTTTTCCCTCCCCCTCCCCCTTGCTCTCCAGTCCTAAGAGAAGTCAGGGTGCCCTGACCTGTGGGAAGTCCAAGGCCCCCGACTCCATCCAGGTCTAGGAAGGTGTGCATCCAAACAGACTAGGCCCCCAAAAAGCCAGTACATGCAGTAGAATCAAAATCCAGTGTCATTATCATTGGCTTCTCAGTCAACCCTCATTGTCAGCCACATTCAGAGAGTCGAGTTTGATCACATGCTCCATCAGTCCCAGTCCAGCTGGTCTTGGTGAGCTCCCATTAGATCAGTAGTCAGATTTATGTTGAGGGCTTTAATCCATTTGGACGAGTTTTGTGCATGGTGACAGATATGGATCTACTTTCATTCTTCTACAGGTTGATATCCAGTTATGCCAGCACCATTTGTTAAAGATGCTTTCTTTCTTCCATTGTATAATTTTAGCTCCTTTGTCGAAAATCAGGTTTTCATAGGTTTGTGGGTTAATATCCGGGTCTTCGATTCGATTCCATTGGTCAACATCCCTGTTTTTGTGCCAATACCAAGCTGTTTTCATTACTGTAGCTCTGTAATAGAGTTTGAAGTCAGGGATGGTAATGCCTCCGAAGTACTTTTATTGTATAGGATTGTTTTGGCTATCCTGGGTTTTTTGTTTTTCCATATAAAGTTGACTATTGTTCTCTCAAGGTGTGTGAAGAATTTTGTTGGGATTTTAATGGGGATTGCATTAAATCTATAGATTGCTTTTGGTAGAATTGCCATCTTTACTATATTGATCCTCCCAATCCAAGAGCAAGGGAGATCCTTCCATTTCCTGGTATCCTCTTCAATTTCTTTCTTCAAAGACTTAAAGTTCTTGTCAAATAGATCTTTCACTTCCTTGGTTAGAGTTACCCCAAGATACTTTATGCTATTTGTGGCTATTGTGAAAGGTGATACTTCTCTGATTTCCCTCTCTGCTTCTTTATCCTTTGTGTATAGGAGGGCCACTGATTTTTTGGAGTTGATCTTGTATCCAGACACATTACTAAAGGCATTTATCAGCTGTAGGTGTTCTTTGGGGTTGCTTATGTACACTATCATGTCATCTGCAAATAACGAAAGTTTGACTTCTTCCTTTCCAATTCGAATTCCCTTGATCTCCTTATGTTGTCTTATTGCTATTGCTAGAACATCAAGCACTATATTGAAAAGGAATGGAGAGAGTGGACAGCCTTGTCGTGTTCCTGATTTTAGTGGAAAGGCTTTGAGTTTCTCTCCATTTAATTTGATGTTAGCTGTCGGCTTTCTGTATATTGCTTTTATTATATTTAGGAATGAACCTTGTATCCCTAATTTCTCCAAGACCTTTATCATAAAGGGGTATTGAATTTTGTCAAATGTTTTTTCAGCATCTAATGAAATGATCATATGATTTTTTCCTTCAGTTTATTTATATGATGGATTACATTGATAGATTTGCGCATGTTGAATCAGCCTTGCCTCTCTGGGATGAAGCCTATTTGATCATAATGTATAATTTTCTGGATGTGTTCTTGGATTCAGTTTGCCGGTATTTTATTGAGAATTTTTGCATCAATGTTCATGAGTGAGATTGGCCTGTAATTCTCTTTCTTGGTTAATTCTTTGTGTGGTTTTGGTATCAGGGTAACTGTAGCTTCATAAAAGGAGTTTGGTAATGACTCTTCTGTTTCTATTTTGTGAAATACACTAAGGAATATAGGTATTAGCTCTTCGTGGAAGTTCTGGTAGAATTCTGCATTGAAACCATCTGGTCCTGGGCTTTTTTTGGTAGGGAAGTTTTTGATAACAGCTTCTAATTCTTCGCGACTTACAGGTCTATTTAAACTGTTCGCCTGGTCTTGATTTAATTTTGGTATATGGTACTTATCAAAAACAATGTCGATTTCTTTTACATTTTCCAATTTTGTGGCATACAGGCTTTTGTAGTAAGATCTAATGATTCTCTGAATTTCCTCCGTGTCTGTGGTTATGTCCCCCTTTTCATTTCTGATCTTATTAATTTGCGTGTTCTCTCTCTGCCATTTGATTAGTTTGGATAGGGGTTTGTCAATCTCGTTGATTTTCTCCAAGAACCAGCTTTTTGTTTCATTGATTCTTTGGATTGTTTTCTGTGTTTCTATTTTGTTGATTTCAGCCCTCAGTTTGATTATTTCCAGTCTTCTACTCCTCCTGGGTGAGTCTGCTTCTTTTTTTTCTAGAGCTTTCAGGTGTGCTGTTAAGTCTCTAATGTGTGCTTTCTCCGTTTTCTTTATGTGGGCATTTAATGCTATGAACTTTCGTTTTAGCACTGCTTTCATAGTGTCCCATAGGTTTGGGTATGTTGTGAGTAGTTGACTATTCAGTTTCCATGAGTTTGTAGGCTTTCTGGGGTTAGAATTGTTGTTCAATTCTAGCTTTATTCCATGGTGATCCAATAGTACACAGGTGGTTACTACAATTTCTTTGTATCTATGGATGTTTGCTTTGTTACCAATTACATGATCAATTTTTGAGAAGGTTCCATGCGATGCTGAGAAGAAGGTATATTCTTTTCTGTTTGGGTGGAATGTTCTATAGATGTCTGTTAAGTCCATTTGGTTCATTACATTTGTTAGTTCTCTTATTTCTCTGTTAAGTTTCTGTCTCGTTGACCTGTCCATTGGTGAGAGTGGAGTGTTGAAGTCTCCTACTATTAGTGTGTGTGGTTTGATGACTGCCTTGAGTTCTAGAAGTGTTTCTTTTACATAAGTGGGTGGCTTTATATTAGGGGCATAGATATTCAGGATTGAGACTTCCTCCTAATGAATTGTTCCTGTTATGAGAATAAAGTGTTCATCTCCATCTCTTCTGATTGATTTTAGTTTGAAATCAATTTTGTTAGATATTAGTATAGTCACACCCACTTGTTTCTTTGGTCCATTTGATTGGAAAACCTTTTCCCAACCCTTTACTTTGAGGTAGTGTCTGTCTTTGAGGTTAAGGTGTGTTTCTTGTAAACAGCAGAATGTTGGATTCTGTTTTCATATCCATTCTCTTAACCTGTGCCTTTTTATAGGTGAGTTGAGTCCATTGTTATTAAGTGATATTAATGACTGGTGGTTGTTAACTCCAGTTATTTTTCTGGTAGTAGAGTTTGTGTGTTTCCCTTCTTTGAGTTGTGCTGGTGGAGGGTTGTCAGATGCTGTGTTATTATGGGTGTTGTTGGTTTCCTTGGTTTGTGATTTTCCTTCTAGTATTTTATGTAAGGCTGGGTTTGTGGCAACATATTGTTTAAATCTGTTTTTGTCCTGGAATATCTTATTTTCTCCATTGATGGTGAATGCAAGCTTTGCTGGATATAGTAGTCTGGGCTTGCATCCATGGTTTCTTAGTGTCTGAAGTACATCTATTCAAGACCTTCTGGCTTTCATGGTTTCCATTGAGAAGTCAGGTGTAATTCTGATAGGTTTTCCTTTCTCCCTTGCAGTTCTTAATATTTGTTTTTTACTCTGTATGTTTTGTGTTTTGATGATTATATGGTGAGGGGATGCTTTTTTATTTTTTATTTTTTTGATCCAGTCTACTTGGTGTTCTGTATGCTTCTTGTACCTTCATAGGAATATCCTTCTTTAGGTTGGGAAAGTTTTCTTCTATAATTTTGTTGAATATATTTTCTGGGCCTTTGAGCTGTAACTCTTCTCCTTCTTCTACACCTATTATTCTTAGGTTTGGTCTTTTCACGATGTCCCAGATTTCCTGGATGTTTTGTGTTAACAATTTGTTGGATTTGTTTTGTTCTTTAATCAGTGAGTTAATTTCCTCTGTAGTATCTTCAGTGTCTCAGATTCTTTCTTCTATTTCTTGTATTCTGTTGGCAATACTTGTCTCTGTAGTTCCTGTTCGTTTACCCAGATTTTCCATATTCAGCCTTCCCTCGGTTTGTGTTTTCTTCATTACCCCCATTTCATTTTTCAAGTCTTGAACTGTTTCCCTTACCTGTTTGATTGCTTTTTCTTGGTTTTCTTGGGTATCTTTGAGAGATTTATCCATTTCCTCTACCTTTTTGTTTGTCATCTCTATTTCTTTATGGCAGTTTTTCACCTGTTTAAGGTCCTCTAATATTTTCATAATGTTCCATTTAAAGTCGATTTCTTCTATTTCTTCTGGAGTAGGGTGTTCAATTCTTTTTGTTTCATGGTCCCTGGTTTCTGGTGATGTCATGTTGCCTTTCAGGTTGTTCGAGGAATTCTTGCATTAGCGTCTGCCCATCTCTTCCTTCAAATGGAGCCAGGAGAGTCTTGGTGTCTTGGTCCAGTCTATGCTGTGACTGACTCTCTGAGTGGATCTCCTCAGTGCAGGAGCAGGAACTGTTCCTGTCTGGGTGGAACTCCTCAGCACAGACACAGGGTCTCCTGGTAGTCCAAGGACACCGCAGACAAAGGGGCAGGCTTGGGGGTGGGGGGTGGGCAGGGATGTGTGGCACAAAGAAGCCCCTGCAGCAGGAGCTGAAGGGGCCCAGTGCTCCTTTCCTGGATGTTCCACCCCTCACTGGTCTGAATGGTTGTCCTCAGCACAGGGACAGGACTCTTGGAGGTCAAAGGACCCTGCAGACAAAAGGGCGAACTTGGAGGCTTTATTTTTAAACCCTAAATTCTTTTGTCTCTTAGAATCTCTAATAGAGTGAACAAAACATTTAAATTTTCTGTATGTATATTGTTTGTCTGCTCCTCTCTTCTTCTCTCTTTCATTAAATCCCAAAGAAATCACACAGAGTTCTACATTAGTTATAAACTGATTGGCCCATTAGCTCAGGCTTCCTATTAACTCTTATATTAGCCCATTATTCTTGTCTATGTTAGCCACATGGCTGGCCACATAGCGCTGCAGTTTCGGCACACAGGAGGGCTAGCGTTCAACTCCCACATTCCCAAGGAAGGAAAAGGACATTCTTTGGCTCAGGGAGGAGCAGTCCTCCGGGCAGCGGAAAGAATCCTCGAAGTGAATATATTGCAAGGAAGCAGGCAGAGCTGGCATGGGAAGTGCAGAGAGGGAGAGAGGAAAATAGCAGAGGGTAAACTCTTAGAAGTTTTGCTATTCTAAATGGGAACAGATTTTCCTCTAAAGGAATCACTCTGGGCATGGACTGATAAATCTTGGCCAGGATGTTTAACCTCTTTGTAACAGGAAAGATAACTACTAATGTCCGCCTTCCACAAAATCAGAAGTCATGCATCTCAAGGATGCTTAGCAGACAGTAGGACCGTAGCATTCAGTGTGTGTGTGTGTGTTTGAGGGCACACGGGTAGGTCAGAGGACAACTTTTGGGAATTAGTTCTCGCTGTCCACATTGTTGGGGCAGGCTCTCTCTGGTTGCTCTCTGGCCCACAAGCTCCTTTTCCTCATCCCTGACTTCCTCATCACCGTAGGACGGACACCATCACCAGGCTTGAGGGCTTTGCTTGTGGCATTTACTAGCTGTGACTGTAAGTGTTAAACACACAACACAGAATTTTTTCTTGGAAACTTGTTCCTTGTCCTGCCAATACTGTTTAGCAGATTTGAGAAACCAGGCATTCAGTCTGTGTAGCTCGAGAAACAGGATAAGTGAAAAGTAAAAGGTTAGTTGCTTGTGTTCTAAACCAACAATTGCTTTATTTCCTTTAAGACAAGCATCTCACGGAACCCAGCTGCCTTTGAACTTACCGTGTTGCCGCCAAGCACGACCCTGATCTGCTTCTCTACCTCCAAGGGCCAGAATTGCAGATGATGCCCACCACACCTGGTTCTGAACTCCGTGCACACAAGGTAGGCACGCCATCAGCTGAGATCCAGCCCCAGCTTACCCAATATGTATAATTCTGTTAGATGCTGACTGAAGTAACTTCCGACACAGAACTCCAATCTCTTTCCTCCAGTTTGCTGTTCAGAGAACTCTATACGTGGTTCATAAGAGAAACTACATACAGAATGCAGATAGGATTCCAAGACCTAAATTTTTCAGTCATGAATAGTTAGCCTTATCATTATTACTCAATGGCATGAAATGGAAATGTTTTAGAAGGTAAAATCTCAATTGTTAGAATAGAATGTATGGGGCTGGAGAGATGGCTCCGCAGTTAAGAGCATTGTCTGTTCTTCCAGTGGTCCCAGGTTCAATTCCCAGCACCCGCATGGCAGCTCACAACTGTTTGTAATTCCAGTTCCAGAGAACCTGACACCCTCACACAGACACACCTGCAGGCAAACACCAGCGAACACACACACAAACAAGATTCTAAAAAGGATTTATTTATATATAAATACATACAGAATACAAGATGCATTCCTAATTATATACAAATTCTGCTTCTCAGAAAGTTGAATATGCAGTATAAAGAGGAATAAGAACTCCTAAAGTCTCCATTGTATCCTGACCTTCAATCTCAACACTGGACTAGTCTTAGAATCAATCATACATTATAGCATTTCCACAAAAGCTCTTTTTATCGAAACAGTATATCTAGCAAATGTTTTGATCTGAGATTCAAGAACACGTAATGACGTAAAATATCTTGAAACTTTATCAACCCTTTATTTCAAATGTCCAGCTTCCCTAATCTTTAGTTCTCTGGGCGTGACCTACACTGGGATGCACAACATGTTACCATGTGAACATGATGAGATGGCCCCTTCTCTCCGCTGGGGAGCCAGATGACTGTTTGTCCCTGGAGGGCTGGGCTTCGCATTGAGCGCAGTACCAAGGCTCACACTCTGAAACTAACGCACTCACAAATGAATGTGAAATGAATCAACTCATTGTCTTCCTATCACAAAAGCATCTTAATTAATTGTGTTGGGTGTTGGCTGTAAGTAATTACATCACCGTAAGAATCCAAATCTGCTTCTCTTTTAGTAATCTCCCTCCTTTGCTGTGTATTTGAGCAGCAATGACACTGCCCAGAAATGCAGGAGCCATTCCCTCCAGAGACCGTATGCTCACACTTGAAGCACTGTGAGGCTGAGGGTTTGCTCGGTGGTGGAGCACGTGCTCGCTTAGCATGTACGAGGCCTGGGCTCAACAGACCGCACAAGGACTTAAAGGTAACACAGCTGTACCCGTGCCGACCCAGCAGCGGACGCTGCGATGCCTCGAGGGCAACACATCTGTCTGTCTCCCACACAGGAGCTTAGCAGACACTAAATGGAAAAATAACGTTCAGTTCCAACTGTCTCAGAGACTGTGTCCATTTCAACACTGGGAATAATTTTCCTGTAGAACGCTGAAGGGTACTCTGCACATTCTCCCGGGAATGGTAACTGCAGATATTCTGCAGATGAGAGCAGTGTTTTGGTTTCCAAAGGCTTGTGGCTTGAGTCTGGGGCCTCGTGCACACAGCCGTCTGGAAAGTCTCACTGGTCCGCGGCTTATATGACACAGTAGGTGTACAGGAGCCTCTGAGCCATGGCCGTGTTCCCACTGCTCTGATAAATGAGAGACATGTTGTAGGCAATGTCTCTCCGAAGGTCTAACTGGTCAGCTTCTATGCCCTAGGAGAAAAGACAAATGAGTGTTTTATTTCCAACTGTCAACCATGACAGTATTATGACAAGCTTCTGTAATTTTCCAAAATGACTTAAATCATATAATACTAAAAACATAATACCTTGAACCTACAGACCTATACTGATTCAGGTAGTGTAGTCACGATTTTGTCAAATGTTTAAGCAACTGAAAAGTCTTACCAGTCAAAGCAGAAGAGACCAATTCTGAGTCATTGAAAGGCACCACAAGGCGGTCGGGAGCCCCCACTGAGAGCCTGTCAAGAGCTCCTAGGAGGGTCTGAAACCCGGGCAGTTCCCTTGCTGTACCCAAAGTTCATTTTCACTGATGGAGGCCAAAATCAAATGCTGCTACTCACAGTGTGCGTCAGGAATTAAAGTGTCATTTAAACTTCAAAAACTACATTGACAGTGGCCTCTGTCTGTATGAGGAGGCTGGGCAAGCATGGCAGCCCAAGCTCAGACCTCCAGGACTCGCGTCTGCAGTGCACAGCGGCTCACAACAGACGGACGGCGAGGCTGCGCTCGGGACTCCACACGCACGCTTGTAATCACATGAACCCCCACATACAAAAAAGGGTTGTTTGTTTATTCTCATGAAATAGGTTGTTGTGGAACTCAGAATTGAACAGTATACACTAATATTCGGGACTCACAACTGGCAGCTCCTACGTGGAAGACACAGGAGCATAACCTCTGCATAACTGAAAAGGGTGCCAAAGGTCACAACCATATATGTGCACAGGGTCAAACGGTTGCTGATCAGACCACAAGGCCAGGATGCCACAGTCTCCTGCTTCTAAGCCTAAATATAAATACATTACAGAAAAAAAATTGAGACAAGATCTTTCTGTGGCCTGAGCTGGCCTTTGGCTTGAGATCTTGCTTGGTTTCCCATGAGACTGTTGAAATGTATCACTACACCTGACTCCAAACATAAGTTTATATACACTACGTCTAGACCCTCGGACTACAGAGCAGAGTGTGCTTCTCTACAGATGAAAGGGAGCCATGTGCATGTTACCTCTACCACGAGCGGAGGAAGTGCCAGAGCCTTCTGGTAATAGTGGATTGCAAGGTGAGTCAGTCCCAGCTGATGGAGGCCACGGCCCAGATTGTAGAAGGATTCCTGGCAAGGGCCACGTATGCTGAGGTATCGATTAAGGAAGGAGAAGCCCTACCGAAAAGAAAAGGATGGTTGAGCATGTTCACCTTAGAACGCTGCCCACCCAAGCGTAGCACACTGAAGAAGTCCAGGCATGTCAGAGTCTGGTTATACACCACCAATGTGCCGTGGATGCAGGGAATCATGCAACAGACAAGGGGGAACCTCATAAAACTGAAAAGCCTCAGTATAGCTGTACATCTGACAGAAGATTAACATCTAGAATATACCAAAAAAAAAAAAAAAGAGTCAAAAGACACACATCACCCATTCAAAACCTGAGTCTAGGACTTGAACAGGAAGTTCTCAAAAGAAAAGAAGAATGGCCAAGAGATGACTCATCTTACCCTTGTCGAAATGGCAAAGATCAATGGAACTGACAAAAAATGAGAGGATGCAGGAAAAGAGACCCTCCATTCACTGCTGGTAGGGCTGGAGACCTGTGCATCCACTATGGGAATCAGTGTGTAGGATTCTCGAGCTAAGAATAAGCCTCCCGTGTGCTCTAGCTGCTGCCCCACAGACGATGCTGCTCAGAGAGCTAGGGAATGGGCACGACCTAAACGCCCCACAGCGACAAATACACGATAGGATGCGATTCGACTGTGGAGGAAATGGAGCCATGACCTCTGCAGTCAGTGTATGGACCCAGAAAAGATCTTACTAAGTGAGGTAACCCAGACTCAGACAAACGTCACGTGTTCTCTCGCACTGGAGGCTCCTAACCCCATATCCTCGAAATGAGCACAGGGCCTGGAGTAACTACAGAGACTGGGAAAATAGAATGGACCACTGCCAGATGAGGGGTGGTGGGGAGAAGGGGAGGGGTAAACAGCAGGCACCAGCAATCTGACCGGGGAGCAGCAGGGAGGGCAGCAGTGACCTGAGGGGAGGAATAACCCGGCTCTCGGGCTGAGAGGGGAGTACAGAAGGAAAGGAGGACAGAAAACACACTACTAACTATCTGCCTTTTCAAAACAACTGGATGCATGTAATTCTCTATATATAATTTTAATGGATTTATCTGGTCTGCCCTCAAAGAGCCAAAGACTAAAAACCCCAATACCAGATAAGAAATCCTCTTTTGAACTGTCGGCCTAGCCTACTCAAGAGACTCCCAGATCATACAGCCTGCTGCTGCTGCCCACGGTTGACACCAAAATGGAAGGACAGTCCCTACTGGTGAAGACACCATGTACTTGGAGCAGGCCCCAGACACCCTGAGCTGGAACAGACCTGAGTGTCCACTCCCTGAGGACTGACTTCATGGCACCAGAAGGCACCATGCAAGCTTCCAAAGGAGGGAGGCAACTACCGTTCCTACAGCTATGATACTACGAATCGTATCAATGTCCACCATGGCTTGAGAACCCTAAAGGGGCATGCCTCGGTGGTCACGCCCGCTCTCTACCTGTACTTAAGATCCACCCGACAAGAGGAAAGCCATGCCTGGAACTGGAAACCTAGCCAGCTCTTCATTGCTAGTAGAGCCGTGGCTGTTAGAGGAGAATCTACAACCACTCCTTTACTAAAGCCAGCACGATTCCTAACAACACAGATGAGTGGTCTTCCCACTCTGTCGAGCATTTTCTTTGCAACAGACAGAGATCACTAGGAAAAACCTCCACCAATTAAAATGCAGAGTGGAGCCCAGTCCCAGTGAAGACATCTACAAAACACTCAGGGCTCAGGGAACATTGTGGAAGAGGAGGGTGAAAGATTGTAAGATCTCCAAATAACCGCTGGCTTCTACACACACACACACACACAGACATGTGAGCAGGCACACGAAACTAGTTGGATGAATCCTTAGGACCTGAGACAGGAGCCCCAAAGAGCATGAAAGGACCCAGTTCAAAATCCTTCAGATTCTCCTACAGCTGCGATCTTACTGCACATGCTCACTAGCTGCTGGAAATCAGCCTTCGTCTTCAGTGTGACGTTATCTGAGTCCCATGACTCTGGGACATAGGAATCAGTGCTGAGCGTTCCCAACACTTTTATCAAGCAGGCATTACTTTTGAAATAGGTTTTTTCGAAAGGCATTACACACATGCATTCACGTGCGGGAGGCTACTGAATTACCTGCACAGTCAGAGCGTGTCTCTTGAGCACGTACTTCTGAGACGCCATGTGAATGAAGGTGAGGCCGATGCAGAGGTTGTACAGAGGCTCGCTGGGACAGGCACGGAAGGCTTGCACATACTGCCCTGGAGAGTGAGTGAGGCCAGACCATGACGTGGTGACAACAGAGCTCCCTCTTCCTCATCGCTCACATGTTTTTAAAACCAAACACCACTGATTTTAATGTATGAAGACCCTAATAAACCTTACAGCAATGTACAGCACCACTGTCAGAAGGGTCCTCATAAGTGTATCGTGATGATAAAGAGTAACTTGAGCCAAGATAGACATTTTTATATTGAATAATACTTCTAAAATAATTTAGCTGTATGATAATCTATGACCTTAAATCTGTTTTCAAAGTAAAGGGAGAATGTGTGTGGTGTGTGACGGTGCTCTGCAATGGGAAAGAGGCTCTTTGAAACCCAGGCAGCTCTGCTCCAGAGAAGCCTGGCCCTTGACCCCTATGCTGACAATCAGGTGTCAGCACCCTTACCAAGTGCGTGTTTGAAGCTCCCAGATACAAATGCGTTGTGTCCATTTAGGACGCACAGAGCATGATTTTCTGGGTTTTTCAGCATCAGACGGAGGCAGAAGCGATGATGTCTTACGTCTTGGGAGTGCATGGTGACTTGATTGAAAATATTCCACAACTGGGGCTTATTAACATTTTCCATTACCATCACCCTACAACAGCAGAAAGCAAACGAGAGGGGATGAAATAGAAATCAGGAAGTATAAGAATAAAAACCTTTAGTGCTGTCCCCCAGTGAGGAAAAGCAAAGCTTCTTACACAACGAGAGATCTTTTCCCTATAAAATACTGCTTCAGTTAGCATTTATCTTGTTTCTGATTCTGAAAAACATCTCTTATGTAAAACGTCTACCAGCTTGCTGTACCTGCCTTCCAGCTTCCTGTCGCTAGAGAACCGAAGCAGTGACTGATAAACACAGCGCTCTAGGCACCGTGAAAGGCTTTAGATACATAAGCCATTTAACCCTAACGACAGTAGGATGCCCTTTAAGAAATGGGATCCTGGAAGGAGAGGTTAAACCACTAGCCTGACGTCACAAACCAGGAACCTTCAGGGGACCCGAACCTGAGAACTCCAGCTCTAGAGTTCACCTAAGAATCAGCAGTGAACTGAGCCACTGGCCACAGGATTGTCAGGAACAAAACAGCTTATCAATTTCTAATGTGAGAGCCTAAGTCAAGTAAGTACACAGGTGGTGTCGGAAAATAGACTAGGACCATCAGCTTTCGCAGAGAATCAGGATGGTTCGCCGCCATGTGTAACTCCAGCTCCAGGGGACCCAGTGCCCTCTGACCTCCTGAGCTCCTGCACAGTGGCGCACAGACACACACTCAGGCACACACACATGAATATTTCTGAAATATGATTTAAGACTGCAAAGTCACCTGATATAGTCATATGCCTTTCTGAAATTTTTGTCCAGAATAGCAGCAGACAGACCGAAGTATTCTAGTTCCTTCCGCTTCTGTCTGTCGTCATAAAAGGAGTAGTACTCCAGTGAGGAGTCCACAAGCAGCTCGGCCTCCTGGAAGCGGGACAGGTCACTCAGGGTATAGATGGCCTTCAAGAGCAGGCTCCACCAGTCCTCCTTCGGCAGGACGCTCGTGAGCACAGCAAATATGGCTAGAGCGAGACAGTGGACACCAATCAGGACACGCCAGCCGCACACACAGCCGTCCTGAGTCCTGCGTTCTAACCTGCTGATAACCCGACAAAGAGAAGAGTGGCTGCTTGTGTGGACTCCTTCAATCCTGTGTCCTTCAGGTCTGAATGACCAACAACTAGCATGTCAGTCAACTCTCATGACTGCAGTCACTAAGCCCATGTGCCGTTGCTGGTCTCAGCTCAGATGCATGCTGCCCTTGGGGGAATGAGCATCTTCTCCATGGATGCCCACGGTCTTCTAAGTGCACAGAGTATGCGCAGCCTTCTCATGTTTGCAAAGTGACTGCCACACTGACAGATTGGGGTTTTCTTGGTCTTTTTCAAATCTCATTTTTCTCTGCCTTAAAATTTCACTTTGCCTTTTGTGAGGCCCTGTCCTCCCTGTTCCTTGAGGCCAAAACACAGGATACAAGTAATGTTTACGCTAACCAGCTAAGCTTCCTGCTAAGTTCCGTCCTTGCTTCTGCTACAGCCTGGTACATTAGCCTGAGGGGTCTATTTTACCTTAAAATGGTAATTTCTCAACCTGCCTGAAAGAAGCTCAGGCCCCAAGGCCCATCTACCCTGTCTGACATTGCCTTGCACCCTCGACCACCTGCCTGGGGAGAAGCTCCCACAGATGCCAGTTTCCCCAGCCCCCTCTGGGTGGGAGGAGTTTTCCTTTACTGGGGCCAAAGGTATTTAACCCTGGATTAAGTTGAATAGATTGGGCATTCTCTTCTTGAGGATGACTGGAACTCTGTATCTGTGTGTGTGCGTCTTGTGTTTCAACCCCTAGGACAATATGGAACTCGTGGGAGGTGGGTGGCGTGGAACGGCGACCCCCACAGCCTTTAACATCTTTTTCATTTGTCCATTTATTAATCTCCTTTAAAAAAATTACATTAAAAAATAGCAAGGCAGACATGGTAGTGCACACCTGTAACTCTCGGCACTCAGGATGATGAAGTGGGAGGGCGCTAAGAGTGTAAGGTCAGCCTGAGCTGCAGGGCACGGTCAAGACAAACCACAGCAGGGAGGAAGAGGGGAGAGCAGGGAGGAAGGGGGGAGAGCAGGGAGGAAGGGGGGAGAGCAGGGAGGAAGGAGGGAAGGTGAACAGAAAAAAGAGTAAGGGGGAAGAAGCGGGGAAGAGTGGGGGAGGGGAGGGGACAAGGGCTGGGCTGGTGACCGCAGCTCAGTAGCAGAGGGCCTGCCTAGCATGCGTTGGTCCCTCAGTTCAATCCCTAACACTGAAAAAGAAAAACGGATGGAGGGGGAGAGGAAAAGAAAGGCAAAAAGATTTATATTGTCTGAGCTACCAACTAGTCTTCTGGTAACCTATCTTAAACAATAAAAACATGGACAGCTCTGTATATAAAGCAATAACCTGCTATATTATAGGCGGCTATCCAGTGGACTACTGTACATTCTCCACATCAGCTACAGAGAGAGCAGAAGAACCTAAGAAAATTCTATGTGAAAATACAGAGTGCAGAGCTGCATGCAGGATAGAGGACCTTTGGTGGAGCATCTGCCCAGCATGTGCAAGGCCCGGGTTGACCCCAGCCCTACATGTTACAGAAAGACGCTTAGGTCAAGCATCCAATCGGATGCCATCACCACTAAGATGAAATTAGTAATCTTACCAAACTAAGAAAAGCCAGCAGACCTGAAATGAGGAAGGAAAAAGCTAGGTTTTACATGCAGAAAAATAATTTAGGGAAACATGTCCAAACTACATGCCACAAGAAGCTTCTGGAATAAACCCAGAATCCACAAACTGAGAAGACAGCAGGGCTCACAGGCAGCTAGAGCCCAGGTCGTGGGCATCCGAGCTCCTGAGTCCACCTTCTCGGATTCCAGTGTGGTCCTAACGGTTAATCAATGCTGTGTTACTAAGATGCAGTCCCCCCAGATTGCTGGCTCCAGTCTCTAACATCCTCCTCTGAGTAACCACTGCACTCAACACCCAGCACTGTCCAGGCGTGAGCTAGTATTGACTTGGAGGGTCGCTGACATTCACCTGCAGAGTTTCTGTGAACACTACCTCTGTCATAAAAGGATTTAACACAACAGAACCAATGTGATCAAAGTCACTGGACATCTAATCTTCACAGGTTAATTTTCTTCTTAAAAGGTCAAAACTGTTTCACTTTATGTTTTTCAGAGAAGCATCCAGTGGATATTTTGCTTTTAGTATTTAAAAGTATTTCAGTTGTCTCTTAACAATGAGCTGTTGTCCCTGGCAGACTGAGATCACACGTTCCATTTCCTCTGGGCTATTATCAGGCTTTAGCTCACCAGTCTTTCTATGTAAAACAAATGAAGCAATTACCTTTTGCATCATAACTGGACGTTTCCTGCTCACTGTTGTCTGATATTTTATCTCTCGACACTTTGATAAGGTAGAGATGCCTTTCTCCAGATTTGGAGCTGGATATCAAACAGACCTGGGCTCTGTTCATGGCGACCTGAGTAAAAGACAATGAGCTCTGCTTCTTAGCCAACAACTCAGAAAGACTGACGACCCACAAGTACCACAGACCAGGCCGAAACACTTCAGCAAGTGACTCCACATTCTAAATGCCTACAAGTAGAATGAATTGATCTATTTTTCTTATCAAAGGAATTTCCGTCACTACGGACACATTATCAGGGGACACTGTCAGGCAGAGCAGCAGAGGGAGAGGAAATGCACGTTGCTTCCCTGCAAAAACAGATTCACACACCTTTAATCCCAGCACTCAGATCTTTGTGAGTTCAAGGCCAGCCTGGTCTACAAGAGCTAGTTCTAGAAGAGACTGCAAAGCTATAGAGAAACCCTGTCTCAAAAACAAAACAACAACAAAAACAGACTCGGAATGGATGTGCAAACATGCACAACATTTTCACAAAATGACCCATTTTAGTACACACATACATACATACTACTGTCTATGGGGCTAATAATTGGTAATTCCTGAGTTCCCATATTTCAAGATAAGTAGACTTAAAGATTTTATTTCACTTTTTCTACAATCAAGCTTATATTACCAATCTTAGGGCTGAATATAGCTCAATAGGAGAGTACTTGCCTAACACATGCAAGGCCCTGGAGTAAATCCCTGTTGTTATAAAGAATTTCTAGCCTTATATCACTAATTTCTAAGTCTTGTATTTACCAGTTTTTCACTTTAAAATGTTTAATACAGAGGGACAATTACAAAGCTATCATTTTTTAAAATGAGCAAGGCTAATGTAAAGAAAAGTCACTCCCCACCTTGAGAAGCATGGCCAGCATGGTTAGTAAGGTGTCCAGGTAACCGTACATTTTCCCTTGAGAGAATAACAGCGTAGACCGATGAAGCAGCAGCTTCAGTTCCTAAAGAAGCAAGCACACGACAGGAGTGCTGAGATGACTCTGATGGAAATGATTTTATTTGAAGAAATAAAGTTTGTTTTTGTTTTTTTTCCTTTTTAGAAACTAGACTCTAGGAACATTTGTTTTATGATAAAATCAAAACCTATTACTTTAGAAGCTATAATTTATACTTAATAAACACACATGCCATCTGCCTCTGACCTCCAAACATGCAACATCCACACTAACTACTACATACAACACACATGCCATCTGCCTTTGACCTCCAAACACACACACATTCACAGTACTACATACAACACACATGCCGTCTGCCTCTGACCTCCAAGCAGACAACACTCATGCTACTAGTACATACAACACACATGTCAAAAGAAACAAATCCCACTAAATTAACACACTAAACAAAAAATTCGGCAATAGCCGTAAAAACCGAGGCAAAGGCTCTCAAGCTGTGTGAGCTATACAGAAAGCACCCAGTGGCGTGGCCTACCTGCTGTGCGGCATTCGCATCCTGGGCTAATGTGTCTGGGTCGTACATCGGTTCCAGAGCTTCCAGGGCTTTCTCAGGACGACCCAGCTGCTGCTGAAGGATGGAAAGTGAGATTCTTGCATCCAGGTGGAGTGGAGCCAGATCAACCACTTTGCTATAGCTCTCGGCAGCTCGCTCCATGTAGCCCAAGGCCTTCAAACATTCTAGGATGGTAAAATAAAGATGTTTAATTCTCAAGTTGTAAACTGGACAAAACTATTGCTTTTCAAATTTAATTAGTAATTTATTTTCTTTTATTTTACTTTCTGAGACAGAGTCTCACTACGTAGTATAGACTGCTCTCAAATTTGCAACCTTCTCGCCCCAGCCACCAAGCCTGGGGCTCAAATAGCATGGAAAAGCACATCAACTATTTTCTCTCCAAATAACATTAAACATACATTTATAAAAACTCTTTATAAATAATGTTGTTTCTATATGACAATACAGTTCTATAATGTATGATTACGGAAAGTGAAGGACAGGTGTTGAAGGGGCATGTCAGCTTTCCTACGTTATCACTCTCGGGATTTCCTGCAAAGTCAACGTCATTAGGCAAATTTACTGTCCTCTAGAGAGAACACTGTGGCTTTGATGTCACCCATGTCAGGAGCAATGGCTCAAGGGTGCTGACACTTGGTAATCTAACCAGTTCCAGCTACACGAAGCCGGAACTACCGGCACGGATATTCTATGTGATAATGCCCCGTGTTGGGAATGGAGACGAAACAGCTTCCTCCACGGCTGCAGTGTTACCTGCATGCCGAAGCCAGACCACTGCCAGGTTGTATCTTTCAGAGCAAACCAGCGCGCTGAGCAGGGGAAGTGCAGAATTATATTCACCGACATCCAGAAACGCTTCAGCCACATCCAGATAGAGGTCACCCATGTCCTCAGGATTCTGCTCTACCAGTGTTGTCAGGAGAGGCTAAACCCCAAATAAAACCAGAGGTTAACATTCACTGTAAATAACCACGTACCTTTATCAGCTATAAGACATAAGCCAAAAGAACAGCAAGGACTAACAAAAATAGCTCAATGCTCATTTCTCTGCTCATTTCTCTATTTCTATTAAAAAGATTCAGACTCATTCATTCACTCATCGCTGCATCGGCCTATTAAAGGGCCAGCGGCTAGGCAGTGAGCTCACTGGGGAGTGCGCTCTCTAAACAGCCGATCAAGTCTGTGCCTTGGGCTCCCACTCAGAGGACACCTTCTCAGGACCCCTACAGCCTTCTCCCATTCCTCCATTCTGTAGTCACCTTCTCAGGATCCCTACGGCTTCTACCATTCCTCCATTCTGTAGATTTCTTTTTCTTCAGAACACTTTTCACCACCGGATAACTTACATATTTTATGAATGTATTTAATCTAACAAATGATCTACCAGAGAAGGGGAGGTTTGTTTTATTTAATACCTTATCCAAAGGTCAACAAAGCAGATGCCCAATAGACTTTTTATTCAATGAAATACTTGTTCCAAAGTCAGAAACGGAGAGCAGATATGGCAATTATAGACTGCCAGGGGCTAACCACAACTTCTGATCTTGTTCTCATTTTAAAAGAAAATTATTCCAAGCCCAATTCCAAAGCGCTTTGTTTTTATGAGTCCTTCCTATGGAAGTAATGTGATGTTTACAGCGCCCTCCCCATCACTAAGAAATGTCTTGTTGTAATTTCTAGCCATCTGACGGAGACCGCGGGCTCGATAGGAAGGATCTTACGGTACTTCTGCAGTGGGTGTGGCCCTGGTACTTACGTTGAGTGGCTCGAGGATGTTGAGATGCACCAGGCAGACCATCAGCTTCACCGTGATGTCTATGGGCACACTCTCCGGGATAGAACAGGTGACGGTCTCAGCAGCTGGGGAGCCAACAGACAAGGTGTTCATTCCTATGTGCAAGCTCGCATGCACAGCCACCTAAGGCAGCTTCAGTCTGTACACAAGATGCACAGATGTACACAGATTTCCCACAGCTCTAGGGGAGACCCAGTCAGTGCTCACTCTCAACAACATGGTCCGCGGCTTCTCACCTCTTCCAGTCTGGCTCTGTACTCATCCTGCCTTTTCCTAGTGTCGGCTTAGTCCAGACATAAGCAAATCCCCATACTTTTTACCAGACTTCAGAGGATTAGAAAGATAAAAAATGACCAGGATATATGAAATCTCTCTTTTTAAATTCTTGAATTCAAAAGCTTCACTTTAGACTTTAGAGAGGTAATAAAAGGGGTCACTTTTCTGCTTTCTAAAACTTTATTATAGCAAGACAACTTTTAAAGTTCTAGGAAACTAAAGGAGTTCTAATCTATATTTATTTCATATTTACTTCAAATTACAAGTCAGTTTGCTTCCATTTCCTAAACTTTGCATGATATTAATAATGTGCCTTGAATAGTAGGCTCAAATGTAAGTTGCTGGCAAATTAAGTAATCTCATCTGTTTTACAGAATTTGCCATTAATTAATAGTCTGAGTTACCCAGTCATAGGAATGTGGTTTCACTGTAAGACTGTAGTTATGGGTAAGCAACATCATACCTAGCCCCCAAAAATATGGCTAAGCTAGGCATGGTGGCACAATTCTGGTGCCTGGAAGGCAGGGGCATGAGGATGTTGAGTTTGAGGCTAGCAAGAGCTACATAGCAAGAACCTGTCTTCCAAAAAGACAGAAAAAAGAAAAGAAAGGAAAAGGAAGGAAGGAAAAAAATAAAGAATGACTGTAAACTTGTTTTCTTCTAAAGATAAATAGGAGCTGGATATGGTGGTACACAACTCCCAGCATCTGAAGACTGATTGCCATGAGTTTGAGGCCAGCCAGGACTACATGGTAAGTTCCATGTTAGGCTACAGAGTAAGATCCTAACCAAAAAAAGAGTCCAAAAAAAAGAACAAAACAAACAAAAGTAAGAGAAATGTCAAGTTCAAGTGAGTCTATTAATAAATAAAAAACTCAAAACATTTTTTAAATTGCTTGCAAACCAAGGGCTAGCAGTATATGTCAGTGTAGAATGCTTGTCCTTCATGCACATGCTCTGAGAACTTTACCAACGAGACCCACACCGAATAAGAGGGTTATGCTGATGCTCCTACATGAAGTTAACTACAACCTTTATTCTCTTCTGAGGTGCCTTCTTCCAAAGTTTCCTTTTCTAGGATAATTCCAGAAAAATCTGTAATTACCTATAGAAATTTTAAAAAAGAGAAATAAAAGTTATATATAAAAAACTTTTTGTGAATACTTATTTCAAATAGTTCTTACAACATAAAATGGTCTTAAAAAAAAGAAGAACAGATGCCCCTCAATGTTGCTGACCTCATTTGAGGGGCTGTCCTGCTACCTGGCCATAGCCAGGGTTCAGTCCTGGGGGCTGAGGAACCGCTGGAGGGGGGAGGGAAGGGAGCCAAGGGATGGACATCTTGTTTTTGTTTTTTTGTTTTTTGTTTTTTCTCTCTCTTTGAATAAATGTCACTTTTTGAGGCAAAAAAAAAGAAGAACCTTTTTAAAATAAGAAATCCTAGCTGTAGAACACTGACATCTTCATATCACACCGACCACAACCAAAGATGCATCAGTTCACAGCAAACCAACCTGCTTTCTCCAGCAGGAACCGCTCCGCGGAGTCCCACTACCACTGAGTGTAGATACTCTTGGGCTTCACAGCGGCAATAGCACTTACCATATAATTACATTTTATACTTCATACAGAATCTAGAAATCTATTTTTTCCACTTAGTTTAAATGCATACTTTAGTAAATAATTAAGATGACAAGATGCTAATTTCAAAGCATTTCTGCAACATAAGCACGGGTTTTAAACCTAGAGGAGACACTCGAGAACGTTCCTACCTCCAAAGCCTTGTCATACTGCTTGTTGGAAATATACAGTTCAGCCGCAATGTTCACATCCTCCATGGAGACTAAGCCTTGGTGTTTTGAGAAAGCTTCTTCAATTATGTTTATAGCTGAAGTACTGTCATTGGCTTCGTAGTAACTCCTAAAACAGTGAGGGGCAAGTCAATGAATGCTTAACTCTGACTATAAAACTCAACATCTTGCTTAGGACCTTGAACAATTAAGTGATTTCAGTTTCTTAAAACTTAGGGGAGAAAGGACTTTAAAATTACAGTAGCTGGGCTGGAGAGACGGCTCAGAGGTTACGAGTACGGGCTGCTCTTCCAGAGGTCCTGAGTTCAGTTCCCAGCACCCACAACCATCTGTAATGAGATCTGATGCCCTCTTCTGGCCTGCAGGGACACATGTAGGCAGAACATTGCATACATGAGAAATAATGTGTTTCTCCTCCCCCAGCAGCAGACATTGCATCGTTTTTGTTTTCCCAGGGAACCTAAATTGGCTGATGGAGTCGGGGTGTTTCCTGGATTTCTGCTGCTTACTAAAAGTGCTCATTTGTGAGTGACATGCAATTAAAGATACTCTCTAGCTTTGTGTAATTTTACTTTTGCTTGGGATGTTTTATAAATTTAAATAGATTCATTTTCTTGTTCTTTTTATTAAGTTCAACTATAAAAGAGTCTATATTACTCTGAATTCTAAAACATACAATATACTACACTTACAAATTTTCAAACTTGTCAGTCATAGGCTGGCACCAAGTGCTAGAAAGAGAGGGGGAAAAGGTTTCTATAATAAACATGGCACCAGTACCCACTGTCCCTCCACCTTTATTACAGGCTCTGTTCTGCACAGCCGAGCAGTGATAGGAGGTAGAGCCAAGGTGAGGAGAACCTGTAAGAGTTCCTAGGTGCTTAAAGCATAGTAATACTAATTTTTAAATGCAGAAATACACACTCACAGCAACAAGGAATACAATTTACCATGTTTTGTTAAAAGGGCATTAGAGAAAAAGTAGCTAGCCTAAAGAACAGAATTACGTTATTTCAGCAGGCTGTGTAGTGTGTAGTGAACACCAGACAGTAAATTAGCACACAGGTACAGCCTCCATCAAATGACTCCTGACCCTGCCACTCCATGAATAAAAGTCAATCTCTTCATGGCGTCCTGAGTCAGCTCCAGTTTCTTCATCTCTGGATCTCCTCCTTAGCTCCTTTGACGATGAATTATTGCTAACAGAAAAAAGCTGTCTAAGAACTATGAATGTCACCAATGCTGGATTCTCATTCTTTGCGGCAAAAAAGTCTGGCACGTGGCAGGACAGTCTTCCACATTTAGCAAACGTTCAAAGGCTTGGAATCCAGATTATTTAGTATTCACAAGAACCTCTTGTACAAACAGGCCCTCCTGTCAACACCTCTGCCTGCTGCAGTCGGTTGGGTACGTGTACAGTCAAGAAAGTGTCTTGGAGGACATTTTTAGGGGGGATCCCTACTTAGCAGCTTAGCTTTATGCATAATTGGATTGCTTACCGTTAAAATCAGATACATCAGGGAAGGGACAGGTACAGTAAAAAATGAATACATCACCTAATCTACCAGTCAAAACAGAGAATTGTCCAACTATGGTCTTTAATGACCAAAACAACCAAACTCCTTCTCCTGAACCCCAAAGGGAAAAACTTGGGAAATTAGATACTTTCTCACTCATGTGGCCTGCAGAGTTTCTTTCTGGTCTGCACATTTTTTTTCTTTTGAACAAAGTTCCCTTGCCACTCTGAACTCTTTCAGTTCTTTGGATTAGAGACTGACGAGTTAGAAACACCGGCGCAGGCCCCGCTGTGTGAACTATGCGAACACTACCACGGTGCCAAAGATCTCCAGGTAGCGAACCCCCAGCGCCAAACCCCAGTCTTAGCTCCTTGGGACCTGTCTGCCTTATTTCACAAGGACGCCCACCCCCTCACTGGCATGCTCTCTTCAGTGAGTCTGGAATGTCCCCTTCTTCCCTTCTTCCCTGCACTGGGCATTGTCTTTTCATCTGCTGGCTAAGTTCTCTTCTCCCTGATGTCCAAACGCTGGAATAATTCAGAGTCAGTCCTCCCTCAGCGCTTTCTTTACCATATTCTCCTCCTTTCCGCCTGTAAACGTGAGCACGCGCACACAAGTCTGTGTACGCGCACACCTGATATCCCCATCTTCCTTCTCTCCAGTACACATGAACACACACACACAAGCCTGTGCACGTGCACACCCGATATCCCCATCTTCCTTCTCTCCAGTACACATGAACACACACACACAAGCCTGTGCACGCGCACACCCGATATCCCCATCTTCCTTCCCTTCAGTACACATGAGCACACGCACACAAGCCTGTGCACGCACGCACACACACACACACACACACACACACACACACACACACACCCGATATCCCCATCTTCCTTCTCTTCAGTATACATGAGCACACACACACACCCCACATCTACCACATCAATCTTAAGTTTCATCGAGAGTCCTATCACCTCTTACGCCTTCTGCTGCCTCTGCCCTGATTAAGCTATGACTTTCCCTCCCAAGCATCATTTCCGTAATTTGCTGTCATCCTGTCTCTGACCTTTCCACTCTCCAAGTTTTGCTCAAAAGAGCAACCAAAATTGATGCACTTAAAGCTTAAGTCAAATCACGTCACTTTTCTACTCAGACCCTCAGTGACTCCGACACTCATCTCGAGTAAAAGCCACAGCCCTTCCCAGAGCCCACAAGGGCCGGCTGCTTCACTCCTGAGACTCCTCTGCTGTGCTGACCCTAATCACCGCCTTCCCTTTGTTCCCCGGCGCGCTGGACTCTTCCCTAAGCAGCGGCTCCCTTTTCCCGACACTGTTCCTGACAGCACACTCCATACCCTGTACCCCTACCCCCTCTCCCCGCTCTCGTCCTCACCCATCATGTGATACAGTAATATCCGGTTATCTGCTTACTGCCCATCTCCCCTCACAGGGCTATCGACTGTATGGGGCAGAGAACTTTCCATAGTTGTTCAATGCCTATGTAAGATACAGTCAATGAAGGACCAAAGCAAAGCCTAATCAATCAACTGGCCATTGTCCCTCTGCACATTATAATACATGTGAAAAACAAGGGGATCATCACAAGCCACCTGAGAACTCCTCGGGTCTACTAGACCCCACCCTGTGGTAGCAGCAAACTCACTGGCTGGTCGTCTGGGCAGACCCTCCGTGCTCACGACACACCATCAGCCATCAGTGCAGCGCTGCTTCCCTGACTAAACGTGGAAATGTCTGTCTATAACTGTCCTCCTGAGGGAGGGAGGGGCGGCTCACAGCTAAACAGCATCAGAACACAAGGCCTAGAGCTAAAGGGATAACCCTAATATGTCAAAATCAAGACAGCGAACCCCAGGATGACACGCCTGCACCACGGTCTTCAAACAGCCACACGCGTCCTGCTCGGTTCTGCTTCCCAGCACGGGGAGAAGCACACGCTGTAGGAGTATTCTAAAGAAAGCGCCTGTGACAGTCATGGTCAACACGAGACAGTCTGTCCTACTACTGACTCAAGAGGATTAGAGACAGTGCAGACCACAAAGATTTCATTGACACATTGCAATAAAAAAAATCGCAAACACATACAACTTCAACTAAGTCACAGAACCCTGGAGTCTAATCCCCTTGCAGATGCACCTCGTTTGAGCCCTGGAAATGCAATCTCACATACGAAATTTTCTGAGCAATCACACAGTTAACTTGCAAACCAAAAAACACTAAATAAAAAAACACTATAACTGGACAAATATAAAACACAGAAGACAAAAATTTTCTTTGGACCTCAATGTAAAATATATTCTATTTCAAATAGCCTTGATGAGCAAACAACTAATAAAGACATATATGTATATACATTTCACTTCAAACTTACTTTGCCATATCTCTGGCCAACTGCATAAAGCGTTCTCCATCAGACGGAGACAGCAGGTTTAAAATTCGCCTGTAGCCATCCATGGCCATTTTGTGATCACCCATCTGCTCGTACAGGCTTGATCTCTCCCACAGGTAACGGACATTAGTAGGTTCATATTTAAGAGCTATATAAAAAAAAAAGAGGAATAAAAAGTTACGTATTTATCAAAAGATGTGTGACTTACCTAAAAAATGTAAAAAACACTTTCCCATTGGAAAGAAGAAAATTATTCTGGAATAAATCTATCTTCACGAGAATTCTTGACTGGGCTTGGTCTAAGGTCAGACTTGGCTTTCTACTGTAATCTGGTCACTCCAGCTATAAACACCAACAGCCTGGAAGCAGCACCGACCTCAGCGGGAAACCTGAAATTCTGTGCTGTAGTCAACACAATACAAAGCATGTCACAAACAGACGCGAGAACCAGGCAGATGCTGTAACAGACTGTGAGGAACAAATACACTTGGTCATGGAGCACTGCTCGACTCTCACGTACTAAGAGTCCTGGCAGTGCAGCCTGCACACCCAAGCCTCAGGGGAAATCAGAACAGGGCAGGATGTCCGCTGTGAGACGGTACCCTAGACACAACATGGAAAATGCACCCATGAGTCTCAACAATACGGTTTCCTGAGCAAGACCAGCAGAATGGCAGCAGCTGATATGCCCACATGGCTCAGGAAAATTCCACACAGCCCCGCCCCTAGAAGATCTACAGGGGATCAGTGGGTACTGAGGGAGGAGGGAGGGATTTTCCTATCCCAAGTGGTTAGCCCTGGACACATGGTCACACAAGTAAAGCTAAATGGACTTAGCAGGAAGTATGTATTTATACATTTATGTATACACATGCTCTCTCTCTCTGAGAGGTGAGCATGAATTTGGAGGGCGGCATGAGAGGAACTGGAGGGAAGAGGGAAGGCAGATGCAGTTCTCATATATAAAGTTCTCGAAAAAGTTAAATTAAAAAAAAAGAAAGAAATACAGTTGGAGTAACAATATAACAAGAGAATAAATGCATACAACAACTAATGAAACAAAACAAGAAAAATAATTTCTTTCCATCTACACAAGAAAAATGGCATTACCTTTTGTATAGCAAAAAATAGCCTGCTTAATATTGTCTTGTTCCAGAGACATTTCTGCCAGCCTAACCCACTCTTCTGTGTCACTGGGGTTTAAATGTGCAGCAATCAACTCAAACTGCAGCGATTTCTCCATGTCACCTTGGTCCTCGTATATCATGGCAAGCGTAGAGAATGGCTCATAAGCCAAAGGAGCTAAAAGAATAAAAATAAAACAAATTTCATTGGCTAACAGAACAGGCTTAAGCCTGTACGGACACTACCATTCTGCAGACTTTTTCCGCTATCTAAGCTCTGATCATTCCAACAGAACTATAAAAACAATTCACCACAACTTTGAAAACACAGAGCTATAGTACACTTTGCTATCAAATACACTCATGCTTCGTCTGTATTCAAGGTGGGCTCTTGCTACCTAGCTCAGGCTGTCCTCAGAGTTACTACATAGATCAGGCTGGTCACCTGAGAACCCTGCCAGCCTCCCTAGTTCTAGAAACCAAGATCAAGCATCATCATACCCAGCATCATTTTTAAAGCATTATTTTCTTTTAACAAAATACAGTTTCAAGAAAACTCTCCTTTCTGCCACACCTTCCTTGGGAAAATCTCTTTTTACCACATATGGCCTAAAAACTCGGGTGTTTTACCCAGGAAGCATCACTGGTGTGGTTGAACTTGCACTGCTGCAAACTCCTTCCTCAAGAGGAAGAATGCACACAGGGACCTGCACACGGGGGCCTGCACACGGGGGCCTGCACACAGGGGACCAGACAGCACCTGAGTCTAGGGTCTACCCAAATGAGATGGGTAATCTATATTCCTAAAATATTATTCATGGAAAAAAAATTCAACAACTGCTGTAGAGTAAGGTCAAAGTGTTTTCCAAAATAAACAGTTATAAGATGAAATAAATAAGCCGGGCAGTGGTGGCTCATGCCTTTAATCCCAGCACTTGGGAGGCAGAGGCAGGCGGATCTCTGTGAGTTCGAGGCCAGCCTGGTCTATAAGAGCTAGTTCCAGGACAGGCTCCAAAGCTACAGAGAAACCTTGTCTCAAAAAAACCAAAAAAAGAAAAAAAAAAAAGAAAAAGAAAGAAAGAAGTAATATTGGAAAACAAAAAAAGCAATAATAGATCCTACAGAAATGCTTGGTTAATCTTATTTCTGATGGACTGAGGAATGGGTAGTAGCCACAAGTTACCCTAATGAATAATCCCAAAAATTATGGTAAGGCTTCCAAAAGGACCAGGTCTGAACGAATGTATTAGTAGTGTAACAACTACTCAAGGCTCTCTGCAAAGCAAACTGGTAACAGCCAAAGAAGCGATGTGACACAAGCCATGGTCACAATCACTACTGAAGAAGTCCTCCAACATATCAAGACGTGCCATCCAATGGAGAGATAGAATGACAAACTTAAAATTATCTTTACTAAAAGATAGAGTAAAATAATTTAGCACTACCTATTCTAGGAAATGGAACAAAAATTAGTAACAATAATAAAAATTTTGAAATTTATCAGAATGTTCTTCAAGTGATTTTAACATAATACACTCACCATTTAATATATATGTTTTAAATTATATATATATATATATAACATATATATTAAAAAGAGCTGAGAGCACAGGTCAGTTGCAGTTGGTAGAGCACCTATTCAAAATGCAGAACGGTGTAGATTCAACCCACAACACAATAGATACAGAGCATGAATGGATAGATAAGCTGGCTGACTTAAAATTAATGCTATAAAAGGCTAAAAAACCTAAAATGAAAAGCTGCTGGAAGGAGGGAGGGGCCAGATTTAGAAGACATCACTGATCTTCACTGACTCGCACCGAGGCTTCTGTTTCCCAGTAACTCCGATCCACGTGAAAAGTGGCAGGCCACTATTACCACAGCCACCTCTCACTTCTCAAAGGAGTTCACATAAATAGCCCAGTCAAACGCGTCCCCACTTGCTAAAGACGTCCATCAGTTACTGCTATCGGTAAAGCCCTACAGGAGACACCTTGTCTTATGATCTCCATGCACATCAGGATCGCCTCTTCGTGTTCCCCTCGCGCAAAGCGAATGTTGGCTTCGCCCATGAGACCTCTCAGGGCTCTGGGAAGTTTACTCCGAGGCCTCTTCTCCTGTCCAGAGGAAAACACATGGAGATTAAGACAAAGCTCAGATCTCAATCCAAACCCACAAAGAAAACAGAATGGGAACTCCACTCTAAAACTTCTAAATCTTTAGGAAAAAAGAACGAGGTACTTAGTCATTATAATTCTAATGCCTTAATTTTAAATCTAATTACACAAAACAAGTTAAAATTCAAATGCAGGAAAGTTCAAAATTATTTTGTTATTCTCCAAAGAGGAATACCAAAAAAATAAATAAATAAAATCAAAAAGAAACAAAACAAAAACCTTCCTACAGTTGAAAGTTTATAGCACAATTAAATACAAACTGTCCAATGGCCAGGAATTGCTGAGCTACTGACCAATGCAACGGTATCATCATGCAACAAAACGGATCCCGTGTCATTCTGTATGAGAACACTTGCTACATTCCCTGTCATTCCGTACAAGAACACTTACTAGAAAGTCCTTCTTGGAAATTCATCCAAAACAAAACTCAGCTAACAACAACAAAAACCCACTGAGTTATAGGTTTTTCAGTAGCAAAACCACTAAACATTTGACATAAGAACAAGTCTTACATAAAATTTCTCCAAAACGAAGCATAAGAAATAAATGACAATTCACAGCAGCCTCAAAGAAAAGAAAATCTCTAGAAATACAGCTAACTAAGTAAAGCCCTCTGCAATGACACTGTAAACCTCTGAAGAGAGTAAGGAAGACACTACAAGATGGAAGGACCTCCGATTAACGGACTGGCAGAATATTGTAAAAATAACCATTCTACCAAAGGCAATTTTATAGATTCAATGCTATCCCAATCAGAATACCCTAATGGTTCTTCACAGAGATAGGGGGGAATATCAACAACAACAACACCATCCTAAAGCTTATATGGAACACCAAAAAACCCAGATAGCCAAAGCAATCCTGAGAAAAAAAGCCAGTGCTGAAGGGATTACCTTTCTATATTTCAAGACATATTATAGTTATAACAACAAGAGCATTATGACACTGACACAGAAGACATGCAGACCAACCAACCAAACACAACACCCAAACATGAGTCCACAGAAGACATGCAGACCATC